TCTCTCTCTCTCTCTCTCTCTCTCTCTCTGTCTCTGTCTCTGTAATGGTCACTGAAGCCCCCCTCCCTCTCTCTATTCTCCCCCCATTTCTCACCTCTCCCCCTCTCTGATGGGCGCAGTGCTGAGGGAAGCTGGACTATGATGCTAATGAGTTGCTAATTCCATCAGCATTCTCCTCCTGTGGGCCTGCCCTGGCTGCCTGGTCTGCCTGTCAGACTTTGATGATGCCTCCAATCCTCCCACCTGCGTGCTCACTTTAGACTCCCCCCTCAGACATGTCCCGTTGATCAATGTTTCTGTCCGGCTCTCCCTGCCAAATAATTTATGAACCAGCCTCGTTCCATTCCTACTCTCCATTTTTCATAACATGGAATTTTATTTCATTATGTGAGGTCTACAGGTTTTTTAGGACTTGAAATGCACACGCAACAAGTCAAGCTGTAGGAAAACTTAGGGACACTCTCCTAAGCTGTACACATTCTCACTCTGACTAGAAAGGGGGAGGTACAGTGAGGTGCAGGATTATCTAAGCCGTGATTGGCTAAGAAAGTGGGTGATTCTAACTACAGGGACAAACTAGCGGTGTATATAGAAATTCTATATCTGAATGCTTGGCCTTTTTAACACCTACAACATTGTTAGGGAATTATAGGTAAACCACTCTCCTATAAATTCACAAGAATGCATGTTTTGCAGCCAAAATAAATCTTAGATAAAGCAGTCGGAACAGAAATTAAAATGGTTTTCTACCTCTCCTGGTAATAATCTTAAAATTCAGATGAGTATGATCCTTCAACATCTCTTTCCATTCTTACCACATGCACGCACATACAGTCCTCCAGCCAGGAGACAGGCCAAATGGTCAAGGCTTAAGCACTTGAGCAGAAAAGAGTGCCCTTCTTTCTCCAGTGTTCAGAGAGTTGCTAGCTGTGAACCCTCTCTAAAAGAAAAGGAACGGAACTGTCGTTTTTCAACTAATTTTAACTCGCTCCGTCTGCCTTCCTCCTCGACTGTAGTGCAAGGCAGTAGCAGGCTTTTGTTTGGATTAGGGAGGAAAAGCCCCTGGTCATATACAGTACATCTCTTCCAACTGTGCACAAACTGGTTGAATCAACCTTGTTTCAATGTAATTTTTCAATGTATTGTGATGTGGAATCTAAGTGGAAAATACATTGGATTTGAAAAAAGTCATCAATGTTGGTTTGAGGGGGGAATTTCAACTACAGGGTTATGTCATTGTAACGAATTTTCAACATAGACAAACCTTGTATAAAATATGTTGAATTTGTACCTTTGAAACAACATCAGATCTTCAATGTTATATCCACTATCAGAAAAAAAACAATATTCTGGGCAGCACCCCCCTACTGGAGAGTTGATCTATCTACAGCTGTCCATTTGGTCTCCCATCCAGGGTTTTAACCAAGCCCAGCTTTGATATTTGTCACTGACAACTACCAATGTGCTATCATGAGAATGATTATTGAGAGATCTCTTAATAACTAAATATAGTCACTGTTGCTATCGAAGTAATTCCAAAGGGTAGGTTTAACAGAGCAAATCAAATGTAACCATACTTTTATAAGTCATATCATAAATTATACTATTTAGGCCTATATAGCATTTGCAAAGTCATCAACAGTTATTGTTTCAATTCAACCCAGGGTTCAATTAAAAATAGACAATACATACAGGCCTAGGGTTTCAAGCATTGGTTGATTTCAAATGTAATCTTCAAGTTAATCATTAATATGTTGGATTTACATTTCCATCTCAACCAACCATCAAAGTTAAAGAATAGGACTAAAACAAATCAAACTTTAAATGCACTTTAAATAAAGTTTGATTTGATTTAGTCCTAGTTTTTCACTTTAATTATTGGTTGAGATGGAGACGTGAATCTAACATATCATTTATTAATTTGTAGACAAACTGGACTTAGCCACACTAAGTCAGTGTCACACACGATGCATCTCCTTCAAATGTTGATATTTGGTTGTCTTGACAACCAAACACAATTCAATATCACTTACACTTTCAATACTGTATATAAATGGCCTATTAACTTGTCGACAAGTTGTCAAATGATATGTTTGATTCACGTCTCCAACTAAACCAAAAACACAACTTAAAGTATAGGATTAAGCCAGTGGCTCAGATTAAACTATACAAGCATTAGATATACTTTAAATGATGTTTGGTTGCATTGACAACTAAAAATAAATAATAATAATAAGTAAATAGCCTAAAGTTGAAGTTATCTTACAAACTAATGTAATAATATAAAAATGAGTAACACATCCATGGACACATGTTGAGGTTAGCCTACTGTAACAATAAATGTCTTATGTACCGTACAACTTCAATTAAATGCAGTCTCAAATAGCCGCCTGTCCCTTTTTGGCCGGACAACGGCACACATTCAGCAAATAAACGCCTGTTTTAAATAAATGCCAGGTCTAAATTAATTGTTTACGAGGTTACCATGAATTACCATGAATTGTTAAGAGGTTTGTTTGATTTGTTATATTAAATAATTCAGTAATGACTCAGATAAAATGATGGCAATCATCAGTTTTTATCGCCAGTAAGAAACTGCTAGCCATTGGCTGCTAACAGCAGAGAACTGCTAGCTAACTGGCAAGCATAAAAATAAATCAACAACTTCGGGAGTACAGACCCCTAGAAATCGTCTGATCGTCCTCTAGTGGCGAAAGTAAGAACTGACAAATGCACAGTCATAGGAGAATAATAATTATATCAAGGAAAAGTTTATTAACATTTTTTATAGAGGCATACTAACACAAAATAAACGTGACACAGTGAGTAAATGATAACAGATTAGTGCAGGAAATGAAGAAATTGATATAAATGCTAGAAGTGAATGCTTGAATTAAACAATTAACTATGCAAACGAGCAAAAAGGAAATGGATACCTGGCCCAAATAGAAGCCTGTCTCCAATAAGCACCTGTTGTATTCAGTGATTTAAGCAAATAAATGCCCAGGCTATTAATTGAAGTTTTACGGTAATCATAGGAAGTGTGCCTGTTCAAAAAAGCATGCAAAGGTCACAGGTCTGTGGAGATCTTCACAATTGCTATAATAATCTGTGCAGAATCTCGAACAGCATTGATCACTTGCGCTATGTACTTTTAATGTAATATCAACTGCAATCCAGGTCATTTGGTTGTGCTATTAGATGAAGCACAGTCATAACACATAAATACAAAATATCTGACATTGTATTCCCATCTGAACTTTGTTGTGCTTTTAAATGGTTGAACGCGCAGTGATAACACATTTAGATGACAACCAAAAATCAGACATTGTTTTTCCATTGGAGTTTGGTTGCGCTTTTAGATCGTTGAAAACATTTGGGAATTCAATAAACTTCTGGACGACTTTTTGAGTGAGTGAATAAAGGTTAAAATCTCATTGATAAGCGTCTCTGCCAAATATTACCCACATTTCCACATTGAAATGACGTGGTGTTCCCAGTGGATTTTCTCCCTCCCTTTCTCTCTCCGCCCCACATCGCTCTCTATCTCTCACACATCTGAAATCAGGCTGATAAATGCAGAAAATTGCCAATCAAAATAAATGTTCTACCACATGTTATTTTTGCGTAGCCCATTTGATTCTGAGTTCGGACAAGTTTGTATGTGAAAACTATTTCGAAGATGCATACTTTCAGTTATTCCGAACTTACTTCACTACTCTATAAGAGGGATGCTTGTGCAGATCAAATATACAGCTGGAACGCCGATTTAAGCCGTTTACATGTCCTAATAATTCAAAAGATTGCTCAGAAAATCTGGTGTTTTAATCGCCGTATACTTATTTCAATTTTGACCTTACGTGTTTACATGACTAATTCCATACTCTGACTACTGCCATAATCAGTTTAAAATGGAATTATTAGCGTGCATGTAAAAGTACTCACTGACACACTGAGATTTATAGAGACCTTTCACCCCAAACCAATGGCTTTGTTACAGCCAGCTCTGCCAATGGAGCCTTCCAGGAATCTGTCTGTAAAGAACCCATTGTCGCCATCGTAGCCTATATATAGCAGCTACCTTGGTATATGTTCATTGTTTTATGTTCAATAGGCATATAGCGTTGCATTTGCCTAGTGGGAAAATAAATACTATAACGTGTTTAACACTGTGTGCAGCTAGTTATTCCTCTACCGTGCTACTCTGTAAAGCTGGATTGACAACGGCACATTACTTGTTCCTCTTTAGTTCCTTTTTAGGTCAGAGTTTTTTTTTTACCGTTGAATTGAGGGTCGGCTAAGGTCACGTGCGGTTGATGGCTCTGCCTGCATATTTTGAATGGGGGGGATTATGGGGTGACTTCTGCCACGTGCGCCGCTGAAGCATGACCAGAATGCCTCGCCACGACCTGAATGGAGGTGCTGAAAGAGTGGCGCCATTGAAATTCAGGACGCAGTCACTCCAATCCAGCCCCTAATGTCTCTCTTTATATAGTTATTCTCTTTCTCCTTCTCTTACTCTCTCTTCCCCCATCTCTCTCTTCTCTTTCCATCTCTCACTCTCTCACTCCCTCTCCTCTCTCGCTCTCTCTCTTTCTCTCTTTTGCAGGGTTTTAGTTAATGAAAACATTCCATTACTCATCATAAGGTTCTGAGGTGTTTTGAATTGTCACAAACTTGATATTTAGCTCAAATGAGCAAGCTTGCGCATATAGTAGGGTTGAATTGACGACAATAAGATGACTGGATGTGTTTGGGAACAGTTACTGAACTGTGAATATTTTCAACAATAAGCAGGTGTTGTTGCTTGTTGCATTGAATCCTTTTATGGCAACAATGGCACTGATCTCTTTCTTGCTTTTCTCTCTCTTGTCTCTCTGTTTCACAGGACAGGCTGCGGTGGTCACGGTCACCCTAAAGGAAGGGTCTGTGAGCTGGGATTCTCTCCTTCCACTCCCCCTCACACACACACACACTCCCTCGCATAGACACTCTGCAGGATGAGGGAAGCCTGGAGGTGCCTGCTGGGGCTGTGCCTCCTGGCATGCTCCGCCTCCGCCGCCTCCCAACACGGTGCCGCCAACCCCTTTGCTGGGCAACAGATGCCCCCAGACCCCTGCTACGACGATGCGGGCGCCGCACGCCGCTGTATCCCCGAGTTCATCAATGCCGCCTTTGGCAAGGAGGTGGCAGTGTCTAGCGTGTGTGGCCGGCCGACACCGTCGCGCTATTGTAGCGTGGTGGAGCGCGGTGAGGAGCGGCCCTCAGTGCGCACCTGCCAGATCTGCGATGCAGCGGACCCGTGGCGTGCCCACCCGCCCTCCTACCTCACCGACCTCAACTCGGCCAACAACCTCACCTGCTGGCAGTCGGAGAACCTGCACACCTCGCCACACAACGTCACCCTCACCCTGTCACTGGGAAAGACGTTTGAAATCACCTACGTCAGCCTGCAGTTCTGCTCGCCCCGCCCCGAGTCACTGGCCGTCTACAAGAGCATGGACTACGGCAAGAGCTGGACGCCTTACCAGTACTATTCGTCCCAGTGCCGGCGCATGTACAACCGGCCCAACAAGGCGGCCATCACCAAGCAGAACGAGCAGGAGGCCCTTTGCACCGACGGCCACACTGACCTCTACCCCCTCTCCGGAGGGCTCATTGCCTTCAGCACTCTGGATGGGCGGCCCTCCGGGAAGGACTTTGACAACAGCCCTGTGCTCCAAGACTGGGTATCAGTCACTGACATCCGCGTGGTCTTCAGCCGGCCCCAGCTGCCCCGCGATTTAGGGGCAGGAGGAGGGGGGGGGATAGGCGGGGGAGGCCGGCCAGACGAGGACCCAATGGTACCGTCCACATCTCTGCCGGCGTACTTCTACGCGGTGGGGGACTTCCAGGTGGGCGGGAGGTGTAAGTGCAACGGGCACGCCTCACGCTGCCTCAAGGACAAGGAGGGCAAGCTGGTGTGCGACTGCAAGCACAACACAGAGGGGCCCGAGTGCGACCGCTGCAAGCCCTTCCACTACGACCGGCCGTGGCAGAGGGCCAGCGCCCGTGAGGCCAACGAGTGTTTACGTGAGTCCCAGCTCTAATCAGCATTTTCTATCGGTTTTGATTGATCTTTTCGATTGTGTGTATTTCTACTCTTTTCACTGTCTTATTTTGCATTATTTATTTTTGGGATCAATTCTTTACTGTTGACCCTTGTTGGTTAGCAGGTATGTGCACAGTAAATAGACATAGTAATTCATAATATAGTAGCATTCATAATGTTAGTATGGTTTTACAAAAGAGATACAGCGAGAGATGCCATCAGCTTTGCACGCTTAAATCAGTGACATTGGTACACAAAGGCAGATCTGACTCGGTATCTCAATGCCAATGACATCCGCGTGCTTGTACAGTGCCTTCGGAAAGTATTCAGACCCCTTGACTTTTTCAAAATTTTTATGTTACAGCATTATTCTAAAATGGATTAAATAAAACATTTTCCTCAGCAATCTACACACAATACCCCATAATGACAAAGTGAAAACAGGTTTTTAGAAATGTTTGCAAATGTATTACAAATTAAAAACATAAATACCTTATTTACATAAGTATTCAGACCCTTTGCAATGAGACTCGATATTGAGCTCAGGTGCATCCTGTTTCCATTGATCATCCTTGAGATGTTTCTACAACTTGATTGGAGTCCACCTTTGGTAAATTCAATTGATTGGGCATGATTTGGAAAGGCACACACCTGTCTATATAAGGTCCCACAGTTGACAGTGCATGTCAGAGCAAAAACCAAGCCATGAGGTCGAAGGAATTGTCCGTAGAGCTCCGAGACAGGATTGTGTCGAGGCACAGATCTGAAGAAGGGTACCAAAACATTTCGGCAGCATTGAAGGTCCCCAAGAACACAGTGGCCTCCATCATTCTTAAATGGAAGAAGTTCAGAACCACCAAGAATCTTCCTAGAGCTGGCCGCCTAGCCAAACTGAGCAATCGGGGGAGAAGGGCCTTGGACAGGGAGGTGACCAAGACCCAATGGTCACTCTGACAGAGCTCTAGAGTTCCTCTGTGGAGATGGGAGAACCTTCCAGAAGGACAACCATCTCTGCAGCACTCCACCAATCAGGCCTTTATGGGAGTGGCCAGACGGAAGCCACTCCTCAGTAAAAGGCACATGACAGCCCGCTTGGAGTTTGCCAAAAGGGACCTAAAGACTCTCGGACCATGAGAAACAAGATTCTCTGGTCTGATTAAACCAAGATTGAACTGAATGCCAAGCGTCACATCTGGAGGAAACCTGGCACCATCCCTACGGTGAAGCATGGTGGTGGCAGCATCATGCTGTGGGGATGTTTTTCAGCGGCAGGGACTGGGAGACTAGTCAGGATCAAGGGAAAGATGAACGGCACAAAGTACAGAGAGATTCTTGATGAAAACCTGCTCCAGAGTGCTCAGGACCTCAGACTGGGGCGAAGGTTCACCTTCCAACAGGACAACAACCCTAAGCACACAGCCAAGACAACGCAGGAGTGGCTTCGGGACAAGTCTCTGAATGTCCTTGAGTGGCCCAGCCAGATCCCGGACATGAACCCGATCAAACATCTCTGGAGAGATCTGAAAATAGCTGTGTAGCAACGCTCCCCATCCAACCTGACAGAGCTTGAGAGGATCTGCAGAAAGGAATGAGAGAAACTCCCCGAATACAGGTGTGTCAATCTTGTATCATCATACCCAAGAAGACTCGAGGCTGTAATCTACTTCAACAAAGTACTTAGTAAAGAGTCTGAATACTTATGTAAATGTCATTTTTCAGTTTATTTGTATTACGTTTGCAAAAATTTCTAAAAACCTGTTTTTGCTTTAATTATTGTGTATAGATTGTTAAGGAAAACCTTTTTTAAATCAATTTTAGAATAAGGTTGTAACGTAACAAAATGTGGAAAAAATTCAAGGAGTCTGAATACTTTCCGAATGTACTGTGTATGCTAGTGTCAACAATATGTGTTATATACATATATTATGTATTGACAGTAAAGTATATGGATATACACAAAAGGGGAGAAAATAAATATAATAATAATTAAAGAATGAGGTTTTGTTAATGGAGAACTCCACCCACCAGGACCCCTAGCAGAGTTGGCTACCTACAGAATATATTTATTTAGCATTGTTTAATGTTTAGATACATTTATTTAATCCCACCTCATAACTATAAATGTATTATTTATTAGAATATGGCAATGTTAAACAATTTATACACACACACCCATACACATTCTTACAATGACTGTAAGCATGGATGGGAATTCTTCAGTACTCGTGCAGTTTTAACAGAGGAAATTTTGTTCAGTACTCATGCAGTTTTAACAGAGGAAATTTTGTTCAGTACTCATGCAGTTTTAACAGAGGAAGTTTTGTTCAGTACTCATGCAGTTTTAACAGAGGAAGTTTTGTGGTGGTCTATTGATTGGATTTACCATACATAGGTGTCTTGAAAAGTACAAATCGTTATAGAAACATAATTCAATGGTCTGGTCTGTGCGAATACTCATCAATTCAATTGCCACCATGTTGAAGGGACCATGCAAATTTTATGAGAGTGGGAGTGTCTACTCTCTTCATTATCTTCCTACACTGAGTGGACAAAACATTAGGAACACCTGCTCTTTCCATGACAAAGACTGACCAGGTGAATCCAGGTGAAAGTTATGATCCCTTATTGATGTGACCTGTTAAATCCACTTCAATCAGTGTAGATGAAGGGGAGGAGACAGGTAAAAACAATGATTTTTAAGCCTTGAGATAACTGAGACATGGATTGTTTTTGTGTGCCATTGAGGGTGAATGGATAAGACAAAAGATTGAAGTGCCTTTTGAACGGGGTATGGTAGTAGGAGCCAGGCACATTGGTTTGAGTGTGTCAAGAACTGCAACGCTGCTGGGTTTTTCACGCTCAACAGTTTCCCGTGTGCATAAAGAATGGTCCACCACCCAAAGGACATCCAGCCAACTTGACACAACTGTCTGAAGTATTGGCGTCAACATGGGCCAGCATCCGTATGGAACACTTTCGACACCTTGTAGAGTCCATGCCCCAACAAATTGAGGCTGTTCTGAGGGCAAAAGGGGATGCAACTCAATATTAGGAAGGTGTTCCTAATGTTTTGTACACTGTGTATATCCAGATCTCTCTCTCTCTCTCTCTCTCTCTCTCTCTCTCTCTCTCTCTCTCTCTCTCTCTCTCTCTCTCTCTCTCTCTCTCTCTCTCTCTCTCTCTCTCTCTCTCTCTCTCTCTAGAAAATAAAATGAGGAGTGAAGAACTAGATTTTACTGTGTGTGTGCTACCTGAAAAAACCAGATGACTTGCTGTTGACACAGTTAAAGGTGAGGGTGAAATGTTCTTGTGGAGTTGCATAATGCCAAACGCCATATGCAACCCATCCCCAACCCTACATTGCTCAACAGACTTTACAGTACACTGAAACGCAGCAGCAGTATTTGTGATTTCTGTTTCATTAGCTCTATAAACAGGACTCCTCTACACTCAACCCAACATGTTTTCTGCACTCCCCTATGAAAATTAAACACGCTCCCTCACGAACAAGTCTAAACAGTGAATGACAACAGCTCGAGTTGTTGGCGCACCACGGCGGCTAAGTCATCCAAGAATGTGATTTGGCAGTGATTGCCCTTACCTCAAGACATGTATAAAAAAAACACCATCCAGACACTCTCTGACAGCTTGCCAAGTGAAATTGCAGTAATTTTTGTGACCTTGTTGATGTTAACAGATTACATTTTATGGGATTACTGTGTCATATGATCAAGTGAATGTGGATTTTGATATGTAAAAAAAAAAACATATGTATAGTAGCATTTCTCTTAAAAGGAACATTACATTATACACGATATATACAAAAGTATGTGGACACCCCTTCAAATTAGTTGATTCCGTTATTTCAGCCACACCCATTGCTGACAGGTGTATAAATTCGAGCACACAGCCATGCAATCTCCATAGGCAGTAGAATGGCCTTACTGAAGAGCTCAGTGACTTTCAACGTGGCACCGTCATAGGATGCCACCTTTCCAACAAGTCAGTTCGTCAAATCTCTGGCCTGCTAGAGCTGCCCCGGTCAACTGTAAGTGCTGTTATTGTGAAATGGAAAACGTTAGGAGCAACAACTGCTCAGCCGCAAAGTGGTAGGCCACACAAGCTCACAGAATGGGACCGTCGAGTGCTGAAGCGCGTAGAGCGTAGAAATCATCTGTCCTCGGTTGCAACACTCCCTACCGAGTTCCAAACTGCCTCTGGAAGCAACGTCAGCACAAGAACTGTACTTCGGGAGCTTCATGAAATGGGTTTGCATGGCCGAGCAGCTGCACACAAGCCTAAGATCACCATGTGCAATGCCAAGCGTCGGCTGGAGTGGTGTAAAGCTCGCCGCCGTTGGACTCTGGAGCAGTGGAAACGCATTCTCTGGAGTGATAAATCACACTTCACCATCTGGCAGTCCGACGGACAAATCTGGGTTTGGCGGATGCCCGGAGTACGCTACCTGCCTAAATCCATAGTGCCAACTGTAAAGTTTGGTGGAGAAGGAATAATGGCCTGGGGCTGTTTTTCATGGTTCGGGCTAGGCCCCTTAGTTCCAGTGAAGGGAAATCTTAACGCTACAGCATACAATGACATTCTTATATATGTATTTTTTTTTCTTACCCCTTTTTCTCCCCAATTTCGTGATATCCAACTGGTAATTACAGTCTTGTCCCATCGCTGCAACTCCCTTACGGTCTCGGGAGAGGCGAAGGTCGAGAGCCATGCGTCCTCCGAAACACGACCCTGCCAAGCCGCACTGCTTCTTGACACACTGCTCGCTTAACCCGGAAGCCAGCCGCACCAATGTGTCGGAGGGAACACCTTCCAACTTTACAGTGACAGAAGTCAGCTTGCAGGCGCCCGGCCCACCACAATGAGTCGCTAGAGCGCGATGGGACAAGGAAATCCCGGCCGGCCAAACCCTCCCCTAACCCGGACAACGCTGGGCCAATTGTGCGCCGCCTCATGGGTCTCCCGGTCACGGCCGGCTGT